CCTGGGCATGTTGGGTATCGTTTTACTCGTTGTAACCTCATCTTTTATATTTCATTAAAAAAATGGGTATTTTGTTGTGTTTTGGGGCATTTAATTAAATTTTTCACTAAATATTGGGGTTTAATAAGGAGTTGCGCTAATATTGCGCAACATAAAAATTTGCAACTACCACCATTTTATTCTATAGGGTCTTGGCATTCAGAAAATATATAATGTTGGGGGGTTTTAAGTAATTTTCAGGCCTAAAATGTGGAATATAACATGGGTACAAAAAATGAAAAAAAGGCCTCAGTCATGAAGGGGTTAAAACGCAAATGATATAGCTTTGTAAAACAAGGAGTGAAGTCTTTGCCTGTGTTTGTATTAGTTACATTGTAATTAGCTCTGGCTTTTATCACTGTCTCTAAGGACTAAATCCTATAAATACTGAAATCACACTGCTAGGGGTTGTTGGGTTGTTTTAAAGCACATTTCTACAAGTTGTTCACAGTAAAATTCACACCTGCCGTACATTAGACCGTTTAGCACTGTGCGGAGAAACTGTAGCAATTTACATGACGCCATTTACAACAGTTATCACAGATCGGCTGGCTGTGAAGCTAACTTGTAAACAATTAGCGGCTTGATTGATCAGTAACTGACACGCGTGTGACATCAGCATTAAGCTGTGATATTGCTTAAAGTACATATACCAGACAGGGAGCTGTACTTCTTTCTGCACCAGCAACCATCAAGTAAGAACATAACAAGTGATATTTTTTTTTTTTTTTTTACACCTAACTTTTATAAACATGCAGCACTGAATTGCCACATTGTGTATGCATAGTTGTGGCTGTCTGAAGAGCCATCACAGAAAATTCCCCCACCCACACTCCTTAGCAAGGATGGGGTGAATTGAGTGACGTTTCGTATTCAGCATACAGGGCTGAACAAGGAAAAATCTACACTTGTATTGCTAGCTTTAGTCCATGCAGACAATTTAAAGTACGACAAGCCAACAGCTCCTGCAAAGAACACAGTCTAGTGTGAATATCATATTAGTGTTTATTGCTGCAGTCTGACTGACAGTGAGGGTAACAATTTGTTCTATAACCTTTACTGTATGCTTAGGTGATCTATAGCATAGAGTCCCTTCTAAATGTAAGTATATATGAACCCACTGAATTATGGCCACAAGATGGAGCCAAGGAACAGAGGAACTTCTTTTGTTCCACAGCTTCATCTAGTGAGCATAATGGGGTGAAAATATAAAACTAAGATGTTTGCAGGGTGAACAGCATTGCGAACATTTTATAAATTCACCCCTTGATCTCATATACCACCACAGTGACATATACCCCCCTTTCCACCACAGAACACTATCCCATGCAACCACTGCAGTGCTCCCCCTCCCCTCCCCCAGCCACCACAATGCCACAGATCCCACCTTGTTCCTATACTTTCACTATGGTTCCACAGATTATCCCTTATGCATGGATCCATTACAGCTCCCCCTCACCAACACGCAACTATCACAGTGCTGCAGACCCCTCCTTCCCATACATTCTTAACAGTGTCACGGACCCCATCCCCCACTAATGCAGCCACCACAATGACACAGACCCTCCTCCCCCATTCCCATACACCCACCGCAATGACTCCGAATTCCCCCCTACCCCATGCAGTCATCACTGTGTCAGGGTGCACTCTCCCTTCCGATGTAGGCAGGTTGCATGGGGGAAGGAAGGCCATGACATTGTTGGGGCTTCTTTGAGAAATGGGGACTATGATGCTGTGACAGTACCACAGACATACCTCCCAACTGCCCCTCATATGGAATCAAATACCTCTTTCCCTCTTCTTTTCCTCAGTGGTCCCTCTTTTTAGGTACAAGGCAAAGATATCTATAAGTTACTATCGTATGTAACTACAAAAATGTTAAGCTGGCCATACACTAGTAGATTTCCGAACGAACCTTTTTGTTCGAAAGATCTTTCTTTACTACCTGATAATGCCATCAGGCACTTGCCGAATGTCAAACAAAATTTAGTTTGATTGTAATGTTCAAGTTTGGGATGAATAGAGTTTCCCGAATGAAAACCACATTAACTGTTAGAATTTTGTTCATTGGAGAAAAAATTTCCATTCCGCTACTCCAAGTTTTTGCTTCACAATGGTCGAAATCAATCGTTGATTTGACTCCATCAACTAATAGAAAGTAGAATGAAATATCTTTTATACAAAAGTGCTTTTGAAAATCTAAACAGTTTTATTCTTCACTAAAACCTTCATCCTATCTTTTAAAGCCCATCTCTGGGCAGACAAAAAACATAAGTGCTTGTTTTTGTCTAGGGACTGGAGTAAAGCTGATTTACTTACCTAACACCCACTCCCACCGGCTCCCTCAGGGCTGCTAAACTGGTCCTCCCAATCTTAGGTGGTCTAACCAATGATCTCATCATGTCTAATGCAGGTTTCATAGACTTTAGAGCGGTGAGGGAGAAGAGGAGAGCGTAGACCGGCAGGGGAGCAGGGATCAGGTAAGTAAATCTGCTTTATACCAGTCCCTAGATAAAAAATGAGCACTTAACCATTGCGGTTCAGGGGTAGCCCCACTGCATGGGTACATTTTGTTTTGCACAGCCATCTATAAGACATAACGCTGCACTATTACAAATTAGGAGTAGAGGTTCCAGTTATTACAGATGCCCATTATTGACACGTTCTCTTTAAGCTGAACAAAGTTACATTTATATCTAATAAAAAAAAGCAACTTAAAAAAAAAATCTCCATAGATTTCCTTTATATACCCATTCCATTTCAATAAATACCCATTCCTGACCGGTTCACTTTAAATACTCCTTGCATGTGTCAATGTTTTATAAACCTTTTTCGGTATATATTAACTAATTCTTTGCTTGTGTCTCCAATGAACCATAAAACCAGGTGAGACAATTCACTGGACAGTCCATTGTTTGTAGCAGTGCCAGCTCCTTCCCTCGCACACTCCTTCAGATTATAAGGGAACATTTTCTGCGTGGATAAACAATCTCATCCCTGCAGTTCTTAGCACTAATCACTTCATTTTGGATCACAGATTTTGGCACCATGTTCCTTAATCCAGCAATTTGGGGCACAGGATGTCATTACAAGCCTTTTCCAACACAGCTATATTAGCATAATACGATAAAAGCTTACAGACATGAGTCTTTTATATTCGTCCAGCCTCTGCTTGTTGGAGGCTATGAAGAGACCGCCATTCTGGATCCATCCAGTGTGAAGTCCAGTCTCCTGCTCCAGATCCTGGCTAACCACCTTGCGTGTGTGTGCCAAAAGCTCAACCTCCACGTCGCTAGGCCGAAGTTGCCATAGGAGACCTGAAAGACAGCATAGACTGTGAGTCAGGGAAGGGGTAGCCTCTAGCACCTACTAGACTCAAAAGAACACCATATTATAATAAAAAGCAATATGCTGATTATTTATGTAGTGCTAGTCAGTGGTTTTGCTCTATTGCCCCTTCTTGCAATGCAAAGCTAGGTGTCTGTCGACTCAAAGAAAACAATGCACTCCCTATGTGGCAGATATTTTATCTCAGCAGTTGTTAAAGCTGAACTCCAGGCAAACAGCTGAACGCATTAGTGAAATTCATATATGGCGGCTGTTTACCTGCCAAAGCATTTATATTTTACGCAGATTTACAAAGCGCTAACATACAACACAGCCCAGTATGGCAGCAGAGGAGACCTGATCTTTGTCTGCTGCAGTTAAAGTGACCCTGTCACTACAGAGTCAAACAGAAAAAAGAATTACCTGTAAGAGAAGATGCTCTATACTTCCCTTTCCGGTGGCCCTTGTGTTGAGATGCCACTGCGATAATGCTTCTGAGCCACTGCAAGTATTCAGGCCTTCAGGTGGCTTAATTGCCTGCTCCCCCCACAGCAGACTGTGGTTCCTCTGGCTGGCTCATACATCCTCAGTGATGTACCAGCTGGCGGGAGGAACCACAGCATGCAACAGGGGACCAAGTATTTCACAAGTGTGGCCAGGAAGTAGCCTCACAGTGGCATTTTAACACATAGGCCACTGGAAAGGGAAGTATAGAGCTTCTTCTTTTACAGGTAATACTTTCTGTTGTGGCCCTGTCTCTTTCCCACCCCTACCCTGTGACCGAGCAGTAAAAAAGCAGAAGCAGCAAAGAGATGAACTCATCTCTCTGTCACTTTGCCATCTCCTTCTATCATCATAATAGAATAATAGGAAACTTTAGAGGCACAGCACCTCTTCTTCTGACTGACACCTAGTGCATTAAAGGCTTGCTTTTATTCCACTGTGGTTATCCAATAAATATTACAATGAGCCAATTTTATTCTATTGACAAAAAGTAAATTTCTAAGTTATGTTAGTGGCTGGGAGATGCAAGTGGAGAAATGGTTAAATGTTTAGAACAGGCAAAAGCCCATGTTTCCTTTCAAGCATGAAGCTTAATGGTCTGTGTTTTGAGCCATTTTAGGCTGGGAAAATGTTGCCTGAGCTGTCCTTCTATAAGGTGGAACAAACGCTCGTTGTTCCACTTTAACCCTGAAAGCATAATGACTGCTCCCTCTGCCTTCCTTCCTATAATCCCCTGCTAGCTGCAATGAAGCTAGTCCTACAGAAGTAAACTATAAAAGAAACCGTACCTGCCGTGTGCCATGTTGTCCCAGAGGTAAGCCGATCCCGTTCTAGCAGAACAACATTCTTCATGCCCATCTTGGCTAAATGGTAAGTGGTCTGACATCCTAGACTGCCACCACCAATAACCACCACTTCAGCAGACTGCGGTAAAGATTTTGTTGGACCCTTTTTGACAGCACTTTCTTCTTTTAGCGTAGTGGTGTAGGGTACACTCTTCTCTGACGTGTGGCTGGTGGCACTGCTAAGACCTCTTAGGCTGTACCTAGAGCATGTACGGGGTCGGTAAGTGGCTGCAGCTTGTACGGCTCTGCCTAGAAACTGCATGGCTATCTGAAATGTCACAAAACAGCGTCAGCTCTTTAAATAGGCAAATACAGTTTTCCCTTTCAATGTAGTAACAGTAAGCAGTAATGTCGTAGAACACAGAAGATATTTGTAGGATTATAGCAACAGTAGAATTCTTCTGTCCAGAAGTCCTCTAAGGAGCTGAGCTGATCAATCTGAAGCACATAAAACCTCAACTTGCAATCAGCCCCGTCTCTCAAAGCGTAGTATCTGCCTTGGGGCGCAGTCATGTGACTATGGCACATTCCATCTGCTGCACAGTGCCATCTCATCCATCTCTTATACTAACAACCCATCTGATTATGGATGTCCTCTGCCATGTGTACAAAGAATGTGAGCTCACTGAAGACCACAGCCTGCCACAGACAATTAACTCTACCTTCCTAACCTGCAAAATGGAAGAATGTCACACTATTTATAAATGTCTTCAGGTCTGCGACCTAATAGTTATTCCAAAAACTAAACCAAATTGTGTGATTGTCATTTTATTGTTAGGTCCTCAGAATGGAATTCTCCTCCATATTGATGTGTTTAATTTTTTATTTTTTTTAAAAAGGATAGTAAACCATTTGGTTTCTGTTGCTTTTTACATAACTTGTTATGTTATGTGTTTGGCTTTTTTTTGTTTGTTTTTATTTACTGCTCTGCAATACATTTAAGATGTTTTATGTTGAAGCTTCCTATGTAAATAAAGTTTTTCATTATTTTATTATTATTCAAACAGTAGACAGTTAAACATTTAGGAATACCCTCTTAAAGCTGAAGTTTAGTTTTTTTTGTGTTATGCATGGACAGGGACAGGACTTAGCTCTAATGAAGCATGTCCTATGTCCTGCTGGCTGCTGCTTAGTGTAAAAACCTTCACTCCACTGATGCCGGATACTCCCCACAATGAGGATCTTTCCAGCACTGCAAAGGTTAAGATCAGGGGCTGCAACTGTGAAACATCAGCGCAGCTAGCCCTCCCCTTCCTCCTCTCTTGCCCGTTCACAGAACATGTAGTATTCTTTCCCAGAATGCAAAGCCTTCTGTGCATGGAGGACAGGCGGTTTAATGACAGTACCTGCCTCCTCCAATCACAGAATGCTTTGCGTTCTGGAAAAGTATTCGAGTAGAGTGAACGGGTGAATAAAGAGGAAGGGCAGGGAGAGCAGCACTGTTTAAAGTGGCAGCCGCTGATATTAACCCCCGCAGCGAGGGAAGATCAGCGCTGTAAGGTGTACCTGGCCTCAGTGGAGGGATTATTTCTACACTAGGCAGCAGCCAACAGGCAATAGGACACACTTCATTAGAGGGAAGTCATGTCCCTTGTGTCCCCTAAATGTTAGCTTTAAGAAAGTATTTCTAAATTGTTAACTGTTTACTGTTTGAATAATAATAATAAAGTGTAAACGAATTTCACAGCAGTAAATAAAAAACAAACTAAAAACAAAGAAATACAAAATAAACACCAAACAGATTACTTGCAATGTCACTTACAGCTGGGTATATTTGTGCCACTCCTTCTCCTCCCTGGTATATTGTAGCCAGACAGGTCTGAAACAAGAAAACAAATAATCACTTTCTCATAATAGGGCTTTCCCTACTCTGCTCCTGTGCAGGCAGTGATGACATTCTCACAGAGGAGTACTGTGGAAACTGTTCAGATAATGCCTGCAAACCCAGGGGAACATTTATAAAACTCAGATAATTTAGGGTTCAGAAAAAAATATGCCCACATTTTCCCACAAAAAGTAATTCTGGGTGGAATTCATAAACACTGGAGCAGACAAAATCTTGAGCAGTTGCCCATGGGAACCAAGCAGCTTCTCGATTTCATTTTCAAATCTAAACTGAGCAAACTAAAGAGAGAAGCTGATTGGTTGCCATAAGAAATCTGTCTGCTCAAGTTTTCATGAACTTCCCCCTCTGTGTTACAATTCATCCACGCATGTTAATTAGATCTATGTGCATTAATGGCATGATTTTTAGCCTGGGGGAGTTTTTTTTCTCCCGCTGAAGTACATAGGTAATATATAGTAATTACAAAGTTGCTGATCTCACTGTCTACCCTGTCTTTTAGTTTCCAACCTGTGCCATAAAATTGGCATTTTCTTTTTACTGTTGGAGCTTGTAGTTCTCCAGTAGCAAAGAGGAGTGTCCTGCTTGTGTCTGCAGTAAACCAGGAAACCTAGTGAGACGATTCAGTGGATGTTCCTGTGATTGGAGTGTCCCCAGCTCCACCCCTCACACACCCCCTCCAGGGGGTAAACACACACACAAAGCACATGGTCATGGACCTTGTTCTGTTCACAACACAAATCATATACACAATATCCTTTCAAGTTCTTTTTAGCTATTCGTGTGAATGTGATTAGCTTGATGTTACGTTGTTGATGTTAATATTTCTATTTATCAATGGGCGTTATGGTTTTAAATGCCTTGTTTTTATGGATAGTCAATAATTATGTATGTATATGGGGGCAGTCATATTTGCTTATAACATATGAACACTCTGTTTCTTGCATAGTAATGTTACACAGTGACCGATGCACTTTACTGTTCCAGTCTAGAACTAAGTCGACCAATCCTCCCCAACTGTCTGAAAACAGAATACATGGACTCATTTTTATCTATGAGGTTCTTTAGACCGCAGTTTCGGACCACGATCCTTGGTATACAGGTGACTACTGGAGAACAAAAATCTACGTATCTATAAAATGCCATCATGAAACTATGGAATAGCAAATATGTAAATATTTGAAAATCACATGACAATTCCTTACAGGTTAATGGTACAATTGTAACAAGATATGTATACTGAATATAGCTTCACTTAAATAGGTGGGTGTTAAATCTTTAATATCCTATTTATTATGTACAATATGATAAATAGTTATATATTTCATTTATACAAATAGGCCTAAATATTTCAAGTTAAATGTATGAAAGAGAGCTTATGCTATTGATCACCTACAGATGTGTCTACTCCTCTTGAGCCTGAGAAGTTTAGAAAGGTCATGGAAAAGGTCAAGAAAGGTCTTAGGTCCAGGGGATGGATAATTAGGCTGCATATGTAACTGATACTTCTATGTAAGCTATTTTCTGTTTATTGTAATATTTCTTGGGATCGTAACTGTCAATTTATATATGTTTATATTCAATGATGGACAGGTACAGAATGTTTTAGTTAAATGACATACAGAGATTGGTAACAGATGTTTGTACGTGAATACAATGGCTGTGCTATATCCTTTGAGTTCGGGATACACGAGGGGGCAGGGCCTTCCTTAAGGGTCATTCAGATACTTGCAGGACAGGGCTTGAAGGGGGCATTCACTTACACTCAGAATCAGACACACACGTGCTCTTAACACATATACAGATACAATCTCATCACACGAAGACGAACATCAATATTTTACATACTTTGCTACATTTTACAGATACTTTTCTTTTATTCATTTGATATTGGACTATTATCTATATACCTATTTTTGTATGCTTTTGAACATTTCAGTGTTGTTCGATGACTTTATAGAACTAAATAAAGTCACACTTATTTTTTGGACTAACTGGTCGTTCAGCAAGTTTCTTAATACAATCACCTCAAGACACTTGTAGAATATAAGTGTCTAAAATTGTAACAGTGGGTGTACCCAAAATGGTGAGATCACTATTAGTGTGTCTGTGAAGGTTCTCATTCATCCAGGTTACTGTATAGTTGTAATAGTTGTAAAAATAAATCAAAGCAACTGGACTTGTTGTATTTTTCTTAAAGAAGTTTCCCTGGTCATCCGACTAGCTTTCTCAATTCAGAAATTGAGAAAGCTAGTCAGATGACTAGCGAAATGGCTTCAAGAAAAATACAAGTCCAGTTGCTTTGATTGATTGATTTGAACAGATAGATCACTAGCAGGTTCAGTCACTAACCGGGCTCCTTTACAGGATTTCACTCATCATCATGTTGTTAATATTTGAATGTTTACTGGCTAGCGCTGCCACCTCACAGTGCTAGGGGCAAGGGTTCAATTCCCTCCAGGGCTATCTGCATTGAACTCCCATCCCATGTTTTTTCGGGCTTGCTCTGGTTTCCAATCACATTAAAAACACATATTGATAAAATAACTGCTTTCTACCCACACTGGCCCCAGTAATGTGTGTCTGTATGACTGTGGAGTTGACTTTAGAGTGTCAGTTCCTGTGGTAAAGATCAGATAGGAATAATCATTAGCTCTGTTAAGCATTGCTGAATTAGTTGATGTATAACTACATGTTTGCAAACACAGCATGTGTGTACCAAGTTTAAGTTATTATTATTATACAGGATTTATATAGCGCCAACTGTTTGTGCAGCGCTTTACAATATAAGGAAGGCATTACAATCACAATACAATTCAAGACAAGATGGTAAGGAGGGCCCTGGCCGTGAGTTGGATTACAGGGCTTAGATATAGAGACACTGTATGGATCTAGGGTTCTCTATGCAAGAGATGTACAGCAGAGACCAGAGGGGCTCAGTATCTGGAGTGCAGGACACGTCTATACTGACTGATCCAGCCATGTTCAGGCTGCCCAAACTTTACAACCTAATTGTACAATCTCTGTGCAATGTCCTATGCAGTGAAAGAGCCTACCTGCTCAAACCCTTCCATTTACATCCAGTCATGGAGGCCTTCACACTACATCTTAGTTGTTACACCTAAAGAATCGAATGAAGGCAGGGTCGTCTTTAACGCAGGGGGAAAGGGGGCAGTTGCCCTGGCCCAGTCATTGTTGTGGGGTCCAAAGCAGCTGCCCCATAAGCTCACAAAAGATACGCTGCACCGTTCTGTTTACTATGCGATGATGGTGGTGATGTCTCATGCGAGATAATGTAAACGTTCTTGTTGCACTCCTTACCAGGAATCCCAGCCGATGGGGAGGGTGCTCGTGATGACTGCGGATGGCACCGCTGTATACATAGGATGGTTGTGAAGAATGTCACCAGCACACCGAAGATCCTTTTAGCACCACTTTAGTGATGCTAAAAGGATCTTTGGTGTGCTGGTGACATTCTTCACAACCATCCTATGTCTCACGTGAGGTCACGTCTCATGCGGGGTCACATCTTCCTGTGACGTCTCCTCCTATCTGCGGGGTGGGTAGAGGTGGGGGAGCCCAAGAAAATGTTTTCCCAGGGTCCAATGAATATTAAAGATGGCTCTGAATAAAGCCAACCTACTATGAATACATTCAACTGACATACAAACTTCATCAATGCTATAGACTGAAATACATTTACTTATTTGAAGGCAAAATCAATCAAAAACCGGAACTTCGTAGTGATTTTAGTAGTATAATTAAGCTACTACATTTGCTAAAAATGAATCGCTAGCAGTACAACTGTTTGTAGATGGAAAAACTGGCTCCCTATTGAGTAAGCTACACCATTAACAGAAATCAATCTCATATTTTGCGATCATGCAAGACTAAAACTGGTCATACACTTGTAGTTCTTTCTTGCCCTGACCCGCGGACGGAAGAAAAAACTTGCTTCCCCCATCCACACTGCATGTACACAGAATCTTCCCTGCCAGTCTAATGTATCCTGACAGCCAGCACCTGCAGCTGTCAGAATACCTGAACAGTGACTGCGCTGATTGGCTGCAGTTACTGTTCAGCCAAAATGTTTTAGCTCGGCTCCTTCGACAAAAGTTGATTGAAAAATTAACTTTTGTCAAACAGAGTGGTGCTGACAGGGCCACCCACAGATCGTAGGACTCTACCAAGTTCGAGCAGTATATGGCCCGCTTAATCCTTGCTACAAGTACATGTGTCGCTTACCACACAGGGAGCCATTTGTTCCATCTGTTTAGTATTCAGCTGCTATGGACAAGATGATGAACTTGTGTCTTTTTTCAACCTGACTAACTATGTAACTATTCCTTGCAAATAAATTCTAACTTTAATTGCACTACTCAAATCACTAGCAATCACTAAAATGTGACTGTCTGATGTGACGGTGTTTTCTTTAGCACAATATACTTACCCACAATTGAGTTCCATTGGCCCAGCCTATATATGAATGCAGATGGTTAGGTTGAACTCGATGGACTTGTGTCTTTTTTCAACCTAATTAACTATGTAACTATGTTAGCGGAGAGCTTCTGCCACATTTTTGTTTATTGCACTCCCTCGTGTTTGTGTGACAGGACAGTGCAGTCACTACTCATTTCACTGCTGACTGATGCATTCAACAGGGAAAAATGCAGCATAACTTTAATTTCTACTGATAAAATTTAAGAAACGGTTTTCAATGCAACTAAATGCTGGGCAGAAAGCCTACAGAAAACGCTTCCTTAGATGTGTTGCTCTTAGTCGCAAACTTTTTTCCCCCAAATGTTTCTACAACCACATGTCTCCACGAGGCAGCACACAGTTGAGCGGACCTGGCCCAGCATAGTCACCACATTAGTGACACTGCTTAGTGGGGAGTGCAGTCGTATTGTTGTCTTTGTGGATGTTTTTCTTAACATTTTGCTAAACCTTTGTGTATCAGTACTGCTTGGACTGAGAAGAGGGTAGATCCCCAAAAGCTTGTCCTGAAAATGTAACTGTTAGTGCAATTAAAAAAAGTATGACGTATAGTACTCCGTAGTGTCGATCAAACACTGCGTGTCCCTAGCGTGGGGGTCACATACCGTCTCAGAAGCCGACAGCCACAAACAGCAGATCCTGACAAACCAATGTGAAAGGGGTTTAGATGTGGCTATGACTAGTCTACGTCGATTAGGCTCAATGCCTTCTAGCATAGGGTTAAAAGGAGGATCCCCACCCCCTGGGCCCAGCCCTCCTATGAGAGCCAGTAAGATGTGGCCGTGTACGTACAGCCAGCCTTGAGCACAAGCTGATAATATGTCTGAGTCCACCATGTTTAGGAAAAGAACTAAAAACTGCAACATTTGTGATACTTTGTTTACTTCCACTCAGACACCTTGTAGTATAGTGATTGTGAGGGGAAGATGAATAAAGTGAACCTGCTATTATATAAATATGGGTGCTGCCATTGTGGACTTGTCTGTGCAGTGTCTGGGGATGTCGTTCTTATCCTGTCTTTGCTACCTTGGGAGTTACTGCAATGGAAAAAGCTTGCAGGGTGGGATTTACAGGATGCATGCTAGTTCCTGGTAAAGTGGTTTACCATCTGGTTAAACCAGGATGAGGATGACAACCCAAGAGCACCTAATACAAACAAATCACACATGGCAGCTCCCATACTATTCTAACTTGAAGCTTGTGCTTCATTGCAGTAATCCAGGTTTAAAGTAGTATTAAACGCTCAAACCTTTTTTTGATAATGAATCCAGGTCAAACCCAGCAAAGTATTTTTTTATATTTTCGCCCAAGCACTTACCGTTGTCATGCTTCTAAACAGCTCCATCCCTCTCAGACCAGCTTGCCTGAACTTCCTGTTGAATACAAGATCACACGGGACAGAGCAGACTCCAGCAGCTCTCCATCTACTACTAGCTTGGAGGGAGGACAGGGAGAGGGGAGTGTCTTGCCCTGCTGTCGTGTGTTTGTGGTGACACAGCATACTAGCACACACACAAGGGAGGCTCCATTGGACCCTGCAATGGAATGGAGCCACCTTAAAAGAGGCTATCATGGCCATTCCTCAGGGGAGCAGCTGATTCTTCAGAAAACTAAGACTTTTAAACATCAAGGGACAATTTCCATTGTAAGTGATTTCATCAGCATTTGAAACAGCTTTTGACTTTAATATCACTTGAAAAGCTACATAGCTATGTTAAAGTACAGTTTGTGTAACAGCTACAAATGAATGGTCAGAATGTTGGTGGACACACTTTGGTGTGATGCCACATTTAAAGCATATCTAAAGTTTTATTGAAGGCTTGGAAACCCTGTTGGGTTTTTATGGCTATCTCATGCCCCCACGACAGGATTCAGCCTTTCTATCAGTCCTGAAGGCCATTGTCACTGGGACATTGAGTGATGGCAAAGCCAAACTTTTACATATGTTATCAGGAGAGGAGGTGAGGGGAAATCATCCAATGGGACACCTGTTCTGGTGACAACTGTCTAAAGGGGAAATTCTGCCTCCTCTCTATGGAGAGGTTTTCTCTCACTTTGGGGAGACTTCCTCTTAATTCCTGTTGTGTCTCAGGGATAGAAAGAAAAACAAACTGACAGGGTTGAGCCATTACCAACACCATCTATAACAAAAAAAGTTTTGGCTAGAAATACAGCTAAGGACCAGCCTACTCACACAGGCTAATATAGAGACTACTATGTCGTCCCTCCCAACTGTCCCTGGTGTGGAACCAAATCCCTGTTTCCTTTTCAGTCGTCCCTATTTTTGGTCTGATGTACAGATATATATAAAAAATTATATAAAAAAAAGTTATTCTGCACTAAAATCCTTTCCTTATTTACTAGTTATCTTGTTTGCTATTTCGAAAAAAATTGTACTAAAGAAAAGAAATAGGGTAAAAAATAATAGGTTTACCTAATTATACATTGTGTTGGAAGGTGTCCCTCTAGTCTTTATCATCTCTGAAAATTGGAAGACATGGTATAGTATCCAGATACAATCCATACTTCTTCAGTACAGGCTTTCAGTCTTGATGTAAGTTCTACCATATCTCTAAGCTTATTAGTTGTCATTATCTAGTAACAATAACTATGTACGGCAAAGGGTCTGCCTGATTGGATACAAACTCATTTATAGATTAGGTAGGTCCTGATATTACATAGTTTTGGTAAATTTAAAGTGTATTGTATGGTCAGATTGTAATATGTATGGTCTGCTTTTTTCAGTTACGGCAGATCTGACCCAGCAGATCTAACCTTTCAGCAGGATATCCAGCACACTGTTACCCATTTCCCCTAGCAAGGGTTCCACTTCCCAGATATCCAGCCCACTGTTACCTCTTTCTTCCAGCAGGGGTTCCCAGATCTCCAGCACACTGTTACACCTTTCCTCTAGCAAGGGTTCCCAGATATCCAGCTCAGTGTGTTACCTCTTTCCTTTACCAAGGGTTTCCAGATATGCAGCCCACTGTTATCTCAGCCCTCCATTAAGGTTTCACATATATTAGGCATGCAGTGATATATGTCCCCCACAAGGGGGCTCCTGCATGAAAGTTCTCTAGGAACTGAAGTGCTGTAGCTAGTTTTCAGCACGGAGGGATTTAGCTAGCGGTTTCCGGTCTGCATATGTCACATGTGTTGTTGAGTAGAGCTGCAATGTGAGGAGCTGCATGTAGGTGAGATGTCTGCTAGTTGCTGAGGGAACTTCTTACACACTATGTTTTCATTGTTATAACTTTAGATAGAGGTATTTTCTTTAAATCGAGCTTTATACGTGTTAGTGGGTTTTTAATATGATCCAGAGATTGAATTAGAAACTTTCTAGCCTGCAAATCACTTTCAGTATGAATGCAATTTGACGATCTTGTCCATTGCAGCTTGCATCTAACAGGGTACATACGATATGAGGGTCCTGGTCATTACAGCTTACATCTAACAGGGAACAGTAGATATAGGGTTTGTGCTCATTACAGTTTAACCCCTTCATGACTGAGGCCCTTTTTTCCATTTTTGCACCCATGTTATATTCCACATTTTAGGCCTGAAAATGACGTAAAAAGTCTAATAGGGATCAGGAGGAATAGGGGTCCTACCCATACATCTAATAGGGTATGGGGGTTCTACTCCTTACAACTTGCATCGAATAAGACTCAAGAGGGATGTGTATTGTGCATATTACAGCTCACAGTCTATTAGGAAACCGGGATATGAGGGCCCTGAACATTACAACTTACATCTCATAGGAAACAGGAGGTATGCAGGTTCTGCCTATTACAGCTTGTAGTAATTAGTTAATAGAGACATGAATATGGCTTAATAGTTTTATGTATAAACCGCTAACAGGTCTGTATTGTACCTCCAGACATTTGTCTGTCACCTATGACAGGACAGAGATGGGGAAGATTGTAGTGAAGAAGGACAAACCGTCTTCTGAGGGGCTGGAGAAGAACAAACTTCAACACACCAAAAAACAGAAGAAGAAGAAATATTGGAAAGAGCATCCAAAAATCGTTACCAAGCAGGTTGAGATCAAAAAGATTTCTCCGTTTCTTCCACCAAAGAAGGCCGAAGAGTTTTCTGCCAATTGGAAGGCACTGCAGGCAGTGAGTATGGCTTATAAGTGCAAGGCAGATAATTTGGAAAATGAAGCCTTGAAATGCATGCAGGGATAAAGATCTGCCTGCCCTGGGCTGAAGTTTTCATCCAGGCATTGCTGTAATTGTTAAGGTCATCCCAATGCCTAAAATCAGCTTGTTTTCTCTAATATGGTATTCTGGGAACACTAGTTGTTGAGCAATGGGAATATGCCAGCCAGGTTTTCCCAACCTTACCCACTGTAGGCTCTTTTGTTCACGTGTGTGTGTGTGTGAGATATGTTATTTTTTGCTTCTAGTTTAGCAGCTTGTTTATCAGCACACTCATGACAAAATCTTAATGATGTTTCTACTTTCAAATAAGCAATATTATATCTATTGCTAGTAGGGATGCACCGATATATCGGACGAAAATTGCACTTTTGGCTAAATACCGAAAGTGCAATTTTCCTGCGGATACATCTGCGCATCCGTGATTTCTTTCCTCCCCGCTGGGCGCTGCTTTGTGTCCCAGCGGGGAGGAGAGAAAGTGACAGCCGGCCGAGCGCTGCAGGACAAGAGCGCTGTGAGCGGCCAGTGTCTCTCCTCACACACCGCTCGGCCGCCTATCACAGTGCAGCGGAGTGGGGGCGGAGACAGCGCTGTCGCAGGAGGCTGAGCTCTCCTCTCGCACCGCTGCCCGAGAGGAGAGCAGGCTACATACACTCAGTGATCGCTGAGTGTTTGTAGATAATTGAGGATATGGTATGGTTAATATATCCTCAATTATGAATTAATGAATGGGAAGTGATCTACATCACCTCCTGTTCATTCATAATTGTGGTTAAAGTAAACATACTATATTCTCAAGTTATCAGTGAACAGGAACACTCGGAGGATTCCTGTTTGTTGATAACAGGGGATACAGAAAAAGAGATTGAGGACTCTGTGTTCTCAATCTCTTTTTCTATTTTAAAAGACCCCTAATATTTCCCCAAAGCCCCTAAAAGTAAAGTAAAAAATCCAAAAAATGTAAACGTTTATAAAAAATTAGGGCTGTGGAAATTAACGATTAATCCCTCGATTAATCGTTAATTTTTTTGATCGATCAAAGTTCTTTTGATCCGTACTCACCTCTCCGCCGGCTTCCGGGTCTTCCGTCGATGTCCGCGAAGTTACCGGACTCCTCCCCCTTCCATAAGTGGCTCTGTCGGCTAACGACGGGAAGGGGGAGGAGTCCGGTGACGTCTATGTCTGTGACGTCACTGGACTCCTCCCCCTTCCATTCGTTACTCGATGGACCGGTGAGTACACATCCTAACTCTCCCGGCCGCCCGGGAGAGAAACACTTTTTACCGGAAAGGTTTAATCTGCTCAATTGAGCAGATTAAGCCTTTCCCTGTGATCGTTTTTTTTTTTTTCTGACATCGGGAGTCGCGGCCTGACCGTCGGTCAGAAAAGAAAAAAAAAGGCACCCGCCCACTGCTGCTGTGAATCAGCAGAGGGGGACCTGAATTTTAGCATCATTTCAGCGGGGTGCTCTCTCCCAGCCCCCCCTAACCCCCCTCCGCAGATGGGGGGGGAGAAAGGGCACCTCCCTGAAATTAGAGGGACACCTCCCTGAAATTGCTTATTTCAGGTTGGGATCCCTGGCATTGACCTATACACATACAGCACAGCAATTAATTAAGTAATAAAATGAACTATGATCACACTAATCCAGCAAGTTATTATTCTGAGTTGCCCCACTCAGTGAGTGGGGCACGTGAGATTAATAACGTGCTGGATTAGTGTGATACTAGTTCATTGTATTACTTCATTGCTGTGCTGTATGTGTATAGGCCAATGTAGTTGGATCTGTATGTGCGTTATAATCGAAATTAATCGATTAAAAAAAAATTCGATTAATTGAACAGGAAAATTTTTAATCATTACCAGCCCTATAAAAAATAAATTAAAATGAAATTAAAATAAAAACATTTTCGGTATCGGTTTCGGCCTGACAATTTTTTCTATTTCGGTTTTTAAATTTTTATTTCGGTGCACCTCTAAGTGCTAGTAGTATTTGGTCACATAAAAATTGACTTTTTTGTAATATATTTTGCTGCCTATCCCAACATCAGATGAATGTGACGAGTTACTACTAACTGTACCATGACTTAGATAAATGAGAACCTTCACAGACATACTGGCGATCAATTTGGGATGTATACTGTGAAACTGGTGGCGGAATAAATTATTTGACATTTTATTATTACTACTTATCCTTTTATAATCTGCCTTCATTCTCTTTGATAAGGGAAGTGAACAGGCAAGGGTTCAGTGCCGTGTTTTAAAGTAGGTAAAATACTTTAATAGACAACTTAAAACAAAGCAGAAAAACTCCCAATGCAAGCTTGTGTTCAGCTTTTAGCTGTGTTTGAACACATGTATCCTATGCCAAGTTCTTGGATATTATTGCATTAAGTTATTTTATTGCAATTGGAAAATCTTGAATAAAAATTAATTGAAAAAGAACACAGTGATCAAGTGCTTACACCATGCGAACTGCAAACAATGCTTTGCAGGAGTACATTATGAAATTAATAGGTTGCTTTTTGTTTAATGGGATTATTCTGTCAGGAATGAGGCTGCCATTACGTGCTGGAGACCCACAATGCTTGTGATACTGCAGAGGTGCCTTCTGCACTGGAGCTAACACTGATTCTGGGAATCTGGCAATGGTGGCCTCCAGCACAGAAAGGCAGACTCTTCTATGCCAGGTAACAGTTCTCCTAATAGGTTATCTTTACTAGTTAATGTACTGTTTTTAATGTTTTAGTTACTGACATCTGAGAAGAAGGACTCCGTTACAGAATCAACATCGACAAAAGCCTCAAAAAAGGAGAAAAAACTGCCAAAGTTAGAAAAACAGAAGGCTGTCCCTGTAATTAAAGACCCAGCCTCCAGTATCCCCACAATCAAAAAAGGTCCAACTGCTGACCAAAAACCAAAGAGAGCTGCAGAGGATGCTGGGACTACAGACAAGATAAGGGAGAAGAGGAGGAAGTTACAAGCAGAAGGGGAGAAAAAACCTTCTAAAAATCACAACAAGAAGCCGACTGAAATGAACATACAGGAGACGCCAAAGTATGTGTTATTTGTATTACAATGTCTGAGCCAAACAATCCAGCACTCTCATGCATATTATTATAATTTTACATTTATATTCCTCTGACATATTCTTTTGGTTCAGAACTGTCCATACAGAACTTTCACATCAGTCTGCACCAGAGGAGCTTACACTTTATTGTCCCAGCCACAGTCACATGGTAATATTCATTTATATAGCTCTGACCTTCCACAGTGGTATACAGAAAACACCGAAATGTTCACAACTGTCTCTGCTCCAGAGGAGCTTACAGTCTAATGTTCCCACCACAGTCACACACTGTTGCTGCTGCTGTTATACATTTATATAGCTCTGACATATTCTTTTAATTTTGTCTAAGTAACACAGAACTGAGCTCATCACATCAGTGTCAGCTTACACTTTAATGTTCCCACCACTATCGTATATAGTCCTTACACATTCCACAGTGCTATAGAGAAGACACTGAGCCATTCACACCAATGTTTGCACCATAGAAGCTTGCACTCTAATGTACCCACCAGGGTTGCACACCCTAAGTTTAGTATGGGTGTATAGTAATTAACCTGCACACAACTTGGGAGACTATTCAAGGTGAACGTAGACATTGTACTTACTAGAGGGATCACCCCAATACACCTGGCCTTGCAAGAATGGTAAATACTTACCCACACTGCTGCTGTTGGTTTTTAGGCTTGACCTCTGGTTTGATGATGTGGATCCGGATGATGTAGAGGCAGCACTGGGAGCAGAAGCTGGTCAAATTGCCCGCAAGATGCAAGGCTTGCCGGAGAAGAAGTCTCATACAGTAGACATGATCCTGGTGAAAGATCGAGCGTTTGAGGGGTAAGCTACAATATTAAAGGAAACCTGAATTGAGATCTATAAGTGGGCTGACCTTCTGAAAATGCTAGATGCCAGGCTGTCACTGGATTCCATACTTTATGAACCATTGACCTGGAACAAGTATAAAACCAGGGAAGTTAGAGCTGAGAGTGAGAGGCTAGCAATGCCTTCATGTTTCTCTGTGTAGAAGTTTCCCTATAGGTCAACCTTGCCACTTTAATGGCTGGAATCGCTACCTTTTTTTTCACCCCTAGAATGGGTTCATTTCTGAGTTTCCGCAACTAACTTTTAGTCATGTGATTTCATTTGTCTTCTCATAGGCTAACCAGGACAGTTGCAATCGACTGCGAGATGGTGGGTGTGGGCACAGATGGTGAAGAAAGCATGGTTGCCCGGGTGTCCATTGTCAATCAGTTTGGCAAGTGCATTTATGATAAGCATGTCAAACCCACAGAACGTGTTACTGACTACAGGACAGAGGTCAGCGGCATCCGGCCTGGTGATATTAAGAATGGTAAGAACTCGCAGCATATTACATTGCTGTGTCGCCTTAAGGTAATTGAGTCTTAAAAGAGGCAGCTGTATGATTTTCAAGGTTAGTGGACAGGAAGCTGTGTGTTGGAGAATATCTCCTCACTGACTATGCAACTTTGGAAATTATTTTCTAAACAAAAAAAAAAGCTTTCAAATAAGACTCATTATTAGTGATGAGCCGAACACCCCCCTGTTCGGTTCGAATTCGAACTCAATGCAAGTCTATGGGGATAGAACATTGAAAATCAAATGTCCCCATTTTGAAGCCTTATATGCAATTTATTGGACATAAAAAGTGTATGGGGATCCGGGTACTGCCCTGGGGGACATGAATGGAAAAAAAATAGTTTTTAAAGCAGCAGTGATTTTAACATCAAAGGGTTACAATAAAAATTAAAAATCCTTTAAATATGGTGCTTGGGTGGTCCCCTTAAACTGCCTGTAAAGTGGCAAATCTGTACGATATATAGAACCAATGGGCTTATTCACATCAGAGTACCCCTTTCATAAAGGGGCACCCAGATGCCCCCCTTGTGAATGAGTAAGGGGTACTTGTACCCCCACCCATTCACTAAAGGGTTAAAAAAATCCTTTTTAATTGAAAAAAAAACAACAAAGAATTTTGACAAGTCCTTTTATTGTTAAAAAAAAAAAATGGATCCGCCAACATAATCCAGGGTCAATCACCATGTCCAGCGTTGTGCACGATGACTTGACGAAATAAAACAAGTACAAATAATTTGAAATATTAAAAAAGACGCCGTCCCGTCCGCTCGCGACGTCCTCCCGCCGCAGAATGGCATTTTGACAGATGCTGGCAACATATAAACAATTGGGCGGAGCTAGCGGTGACAGCTTGCTCCGTCCAACTGTGTCCAGTTTTACTTCATCTGATAGGTGAGCCATGATTGGGCAAAGTCATCATGACTTTGACCAATCATGGCTCTCACAGTTATCTGTACCCTGATTAGGCAAAGCCTTGCACCTGACCTGTGGTCAGGTGCAAGCATTTAGCCAATTAGGGCTTCACAAGGCGCATGGCCTTGTGGGGCGTTCAGCAGGCGAACAGCCCGCCGAACGCTCTGATAGTTTGTGTGTTTGGCGAACACACAAACTAGCGATGTTCAACTCGAACATCCAGCCCATCCCTACTCATTATATGGTAAATTTCTTGGTGTTTAGTTATACAATGCAAAGCGTAAGTTTGGACAGAACCATCCTAACCAATCACCAATTGCCTTCTCTAATTGTAGACACTTGAGAGGTTGTCCTTTTTGACATATTTTTTTTTTTTTTTGGCTTCCATTAAATATGGCTACAAACAGGCAGATTTTGTTTGTTTTAGGTGAAGATTTTAAGGTTGTACAGAAAGAAGTGTCTGAAATCCTCAAGGGGCGTATCCTGGTTGGTCATGCTCTGCATAACGACTTAAAGGTAGGTTGTTTTTCATTAATTTTTCCCAGAAAGATCTGCCAACAACTATGAATGGTGAGGTTCTGTCTGATTACAAATATGTGGGTTGTTCTGATAGTACCTCACATTGGATACTTATGGTAATCTAAAGGAGAGTGTACAATCGGATTGTAATGTGTATGCCCACATCCATCAAGAACATGTGTATGTATATGGGACTCTCTGTTCCGGTGCCAAAATGGTACTCATCCATTTTCCATGATACCACTGTGAAGGTCATTCCCTGCTGGTTCAGGAAGCAGCCTCAGTCACATAGCCATACAATCACATGTTGCTATTTTTCCCTTATCTTTCTTCAATCATATAATGGAATTCACCTTTTTTTCAGATCCTCTTCTTGGATCACCCTAAAAAGGCCATCAGAGACACCCAGAAGTACAAACCCTTCAGAAGAGAGGTGCAGGTATGTCTTTCTATGTGCTGATTTCTGTGCGTGCACAGTAACATCTGTAGTTTGAAAACTGCTTTTAAAGTAATAGGCCCTCCAGTGATCACTTAGGAGCTTAAAGGGAACCTGTACTGGAAGCTGCCATTAGTGACCTCCTCAGAACGTGCTACTGGAAGCTGCCATTAGTGACCTCCTCTGAACGTGCTACTGGAAGCTGCCATTAGTGACCTCCTCTGAAAATGCTGACTGTAATACAAATTAAGTGATTCCAGTATTTATTTATAGTATGTCTAGTACAAATGAATTCTGCACACTTGTTTTCAGCTAGTGAATCTGAACGTGTTGAAGCCATTAGATCAGCATGACAGCCAGGTAGTACGGGTTTCTGGGAAAATGGACCAAAGGTCTCCTTGTAAGCTATTTTATAGAAAAATAAAGCTGGACCATTTATTTATTTTTAAATGTAGCAAAGTGAAAGTATTGTTGTTCCCTGTAGCACCTACCAGAGAATGTCTTGCAAAAGCAAATGTTGGAGAAGCCATTTTGTTTAACAGGGAGTTAGAAATTGCACTGCAAAAGCCAATGAAGTGATGTCACCATTTTGAGCTGCATTTTTGTGCAAAGTGAACCCTTTCAAATAAAGATTTTTTTTTTATTAATTTTTTTTCCTCTGCCAGAGTGGGCGTCCATCTTTAAAACAGCTATGTGAAAAGATCCTCAGTGTCAAAGTGCAGACAGGAGAACACTCCTCGGTAAGTCCGTTATCCAGGATGCACAGCTCACTTATCCAGGATGCACAGCTCACTTATCCAGGATGCACAGCTCACTTATCCAGGATGCACAGCTCACTTATCCAGGATGCACAGCTCACTTATCCAGGATGCACAGCTCACTTATCCAGGATGCACAGCTCACTTATCCAGGATGCACAGCTCACTTATCCAGGATGCACAGCTCAATTTTGGACGATTTCTTAAGGGACCGTAATATACAGGGGTACAGGTACTCCTAGAATGAGATCCTAATAGGTTGGACTTGATGGACTAATGTCTTTATTCAACCTCAAATACTATGTAACCTCTTGTAATGCAAGAATGAGGCCATCAAAAAGATTGATATAATTTGTGACTCCGACTGCATTTATTTTGTTAGATTTGAGACAGGATATCAGTGGGGCCACATATATCTGCAACTATCTTACAGCAGTGAAAACTAAAATTGGAACTTTGTTATGATTCCATAATGTAGCTGTAGTTTACAGGACCTATCCTGTCTTTGTCACAACAGCCCTGGTGGAACACAACAATAAAAATTGTGCTGCCTCCCCCCCAAAAAAAAGCTGATGATTTTGGTATACATGATCACTGAATACAAATTTACTTTACTGTTTTAGGTCCAAGATGCACAGGCAGCCATGAGGTTATACACTATGGAGAAGAAGAATTGGGAAGCCAGCATTAAAGGAAAATACAACAAAACTAAAGTCGAACCCCAGAAAAGGAAACCGTCTTCCCTTGAATAGCGCTGGCTGGACAGTTTGATGCCTGTAGACCCATGTGGATAAGCTGCTAGACTGTCACCATTTTTCTATTCCAGTCCTGTTGTCATTTTAGTGCACCATTCACAACTGATGTGCCCAAAAGTCTGCGCCATTCCTGTGTATTCTGGGATGGGACTGATGTGTAATAAACTTTAGACTGTTCAACTATTTTTAAAGGAAAGGAGGGGGAAAAATGTGCTTTCTTCCCTCACGCCATCCAAGCTGATGCAGATAATATATGGAACCCGGGCAGCTCATGAATTGGGTCATGTGATGCTTTATGAATGGCCACTTTTGGGTTCATTTAATAAACTGTGAAGAGTCAATATATGCAGTAACAGCTGCAATCAGGAACCAGACTGAGAATGAGACCTTGTTGTCTGTATACTGACCACAATTTTATACAATTGCTTGTTTCTCCATTTCCAGATTTGTTTTGTAAGATGTCACTGGAGTAAAAATTGGATTCTGTTATTTCTCTATACATTACAGCAGAACCTCAGATCTACATTCTTTGCTGAAAGAGTTATTAAAGGGTCAATCTACCCAAAACTCATATTTTGCTTGCAATAGGAGTCTGTTTGGTTAAGACATCCTGTTTGTATTGGTCTTGTAACAGTCTCCAGACTATAAATCTAAAAGAGATCCAGCAGGGATAATGGGAGACCCTCATAATCAGCACAGCAGATGTGCAAACACAGGAACTCAAAACAGGGATCTTATCCAACAGAGTCGCCTAGAGACAGAAGATAAAGTGATTAAAACGCCAGCATCCACCAAACACTGGAATATCAGTTTAGGATGGGCTGCCCCTTTAAGTCTTAGATGTCTCCAATTTATTTCATATTTTATGGTCTTCTATAAAGTGGGGGTTCTGCTTTATGTACATCTTTTGGTGTTCTGTGAAGATTTTTTAATTTTGGGCAGCTTCAAGTAAACTGAATTGTCTTCCTGCTTCATATAATGGCTGGGGACATCCAACTGTTAGATCGTCTCCATGTGATAACTTCCTCCACTTTCTGACATCTACCCTGAACTGAAATAAAAAAAGTTTTTTTTGTTTAGTTTTTAAAATCTGATTTTATATATATATATATATAGATCTATCACATTTATTTTATAACAGTGGAGTGAAAAGAAAATATACCATAACCTATGAACAGAAGAAACACTATTTAATAATCACCTGGTTCAATGGTCAGTCAACCTAAATTTGGTTTTTCATTTGTAGGTTGATGGCGATGGAGTCACTTGCTACCTCTTGGATTACTTAGGTGGTCAGGCAACAAAACGTCCCTAAAAGTGTGTCTTTAAAGGGACACTAAAAAGGTGTTAAATCTTAAAAATGCATTCAAGTACCCTAAGTATTAACAAACATGTATCTTATTTGTCTATCACTCAGCTGTAGATCTTCAAATCATCTCTTAATTCATGCGGACACTGTCCTTACTTCTGGAGGGTGGCTACTTTTGTTCCTCATGGTACCTGTGTGTGTTGTAAAGTATCCACCTCTCCAAGCTCACTCCCGTGGAACCATGGGGAGCATAAGTAGCCACCCTCCCGAAAGGACAGCGTCATTATGAATTCAGAGATGATTTGAGGATCTACAGTCGAGTGATACACAAATAAGGTAAGGTTTTGTTAATAGTTAAGGTACCTGAATACATTTTTAAGATTGAACTCCTGAGTTTAATGTCACTGTAAAGTATTTCTTAAAGTGGGCAGAGCTCTTTCAAGATCATTGTGACAAGGCGGTGGGTTGTTTAGTTGCCAGCTTCTACACACATTGGAAATATACATTTCAGGCGTGCTCTCCCAGAACATTAGGTTGGATGAGGTGTCATATTCTTATACTGGCAGGAACGTTTCACTATATCCACATAATATTGTGCAGTGTTTTAATAGCTGAAGGATGTTGTGCCTGTTTAGAAGCTCATAATAGTCTATCCACTGTACAGATGTTTTATAAACTCAGCGGATAAACAAGTGATATTTTTGTACAAGTTGTTTTGTCTGAGTTTTTTTTAAATCTTTTTGCAAAGCAGAAGGACATGAAATGAGGGGAGAGAGTGTGTCAGGGACCAGAAAAAGCAGACAGCAATAAAAAGCTAACAAAGGTTCTGTAATACCGCCGACGGGGGCCGCCTTTTGTTTATCCGCCGCGGCCCTCTGCGTTCCACCGTGGAACGCGGAAGCCGCACAAACTCCTGGTTGTGACGCGGCGGCTGCGTTCCACGGTGGAACGCGGAAGTCGTCCGGGCCAATCAGCGGTCCCTCCTCACTTCCTGGCCCTTTTTAAAGGCACTGATGAGGCAGCCTGGCGTTCTGTGATTGTGGTCTGAACGCCTGCTGCCTCACGAACCTGCACACCACCCTGTTACCATCCGGACCCTGCTGCCATCTGGAAGATGGACCTGCTCAGTACTGCCATAGGAGCCACCTTGAAGTCTCAGCCACCATTCAGCTGCTTCCAAATCGCAAGTACCCTATCTCTGGGAGAGCACCTCTGCCTTTACTGCTTGCTGGCTGATATGAACTGTGTACTAGGCTGTTATTGAGAATCCGCTCTTAAACCAGCACCACCCACTGCATTCCTGTATTTAAAGTTACCAAACCACAGGCTATGACACAATAGTACTGGGTTCAGTTGTGTGGATTTACGTTGATCATATGATGGTAGAATCTCAAACTCACCGTTGAGATTGTGAGTGACGCCTGAGATTCGTATCTGATTGATCCTTTTACTCCGCAGTTGTGATCCTACTATTGTAACTACCGCAGACGTGACAGGTTCTAAAATGTATCCGGTTTACTGAAAAGTATTGTAATCTGTGTCCCTACTGGAGAGATTTCCCATGGCTTCCTTTAAAGGGAAAACCTTCCCAAGTGGAACATAGACCACAAAAAAACCTACCAGAGGTTCTCTTTCTTCCTCTGCACTATACAAAACTACACAAAAAAACATTTTGACTGCAGTTTGGGCTTTAATAGTAGAAAAGACAGCCTCACAAGCTCTATGTGTGTCATTTCTTTGTAACAACACAGCTCATTAGATCATAGAGCCAAGCATTTTTATTTAGATCTGCACTTTTAAAAATGCAGATATAGTAGCCACTTGTATTTTTTAACATTCACATGTCTTTACAAAGAGTTTTTCCTCACAGAAGAGATTGTTGCAAGTTACCTCCTTAATTTTCTATCCTGGAAAGTGTGGATTCTGCCAGTGTTACAATCTCCTATATATAAAAAAAAAAAGCACACTTCCAGTTTAAAGCAATTCTTCAATGGTTTTCCTTTCTCACACATATTTGAAACTCCCTTACCTCCACGGATTCATATTGATCTTTAATTTCCCTCAACAGTTCCTCCATGTGTTGTGAGCGTAACCCGGAATGTGTGCTTCCTGCAAGAGCCACAAGATGGCAGAATAACAACTGCTGTGCTCACTTAATCTCACATATTTGTACTGAACAGCAGCAGCAGCGGTGGTGGGACATATGGGTGGGATCTGTATTCAGGTAACAGCACTGATTGGCTTACTTTGCCTAAATATCTCCTTATGGTCTCGTTCACACCTAGGCGTATTGCATATGCGCGTTTCGCGGTAAAAAAAGTTGCGCGACCGCCGCGCATTTCCGAAGGCTACTTGGCTGTATCCCAATGGAAACGCGCAACAAAACGGCCCAAAGTAGTACCTGTACCTTTTCAGGCGTGGGCCGTTTTGTAGCGCGTTAGGGATGGGCGGAAATACGCCAAGGTGGGAACGAGACCATTGAATACAATGGGATTTATATTTTTTGAGCGTTTTGTAGAGCGTTTATCGAGCGTAGAACGCGCTACAAAACGTTCAGGTGTGAACGAGGGCTTAGGGCAGGTTCACACCATTTTCCAGACAAAATCTGGTCCGGAAAATGGTGTGAACTTGCCCACACTTCCAGTGCATTCCAGACCAGACAAAATGAGACATTTTTCTGGTCTGGTTTGAAATGGACTGCACTGGTGTGAACAGAGGCCAGAAATAGCATAAGGATACATTAGGATGCATTTTGGGTCTGGACACAATCTGGTCTGAGACATAGCTTGTTCAACCCACAGCCATGGGTGTTACCTATAGCTCCTAACAGAGGATGCCTTGTAAGATTGGAAAGGGAGTAAGCCCGACCCAAGGCACTTTCGCACATGAGGACACTGAAACAGTGAGCATAGCTCCCCAAATGCGGCTAATCCCTATTGCATTAATTGCCTTGCTGTTTCTCATAATCCCCTGGCTGGTGCTTCATATTTACGTGACTATTCTGCAGAGGACTACCGAAGTGCATTTCCTCAGGCCAAAGTATTCAGCTATCCTTTTGCGACCAATCAGATGCTTGCTAATCAGTAGTAAGAGCGTTAAAAGGAGAACTATGGGGTCAGTGTTTTTCCCCATAGTTCTCCTTAGGGTAAGGGGAGGACACAAACTAGCGTCCTCCCGTTACCCTAAGCTCAGTATACTGCGAGCTACAGCTCGCGGTATACTGAGACGCCGCAGCCAGAGCAGATCACGACTTAGATGACGGGATCCGCCTAGCTGCATGAGTGACAGCTGGCTCTGCCTATCTAGAGGCAGAGCCAGCTGTACCCGCCCCCTCCCCCGTCCGTTCCGCCAGTAAGCCCGCCCCCCCCCCCGTCCGTTCCGCCAGTCAGCGCTGGCAGATCGGAGAGGGGAACCAGCCCCTCCCCCTGTCACGGCAAAGAGCCGTGACAGGATCGAGAGGTGAGCGAACGCCGGTATGTGTTCTCTCACCTCCCGATCTACTGAGCCAACCTGTGACAGTCTCATTGTCACAGGTCGGCTAGAACTATGAGGTGAGTGAAAAGCACTCACCTCATAGTTCTCCTTTAATATGGATGCTTGACACAGGCAGCACCATAATTTGCGTTAAGGTAAAAAATTTAATTCTGAGATAAAGATTATTCTTCTTACCATAATTAGCCGTCTCATGTAAGAGTTGACAGATATTCTCTACAATTTCTGGGTCATCAGAGTGGAGTAGATAGAGGTCCCTAATCAGAGAGAGACCACTTTTCCCAGATAGGGGCACCAGGACACGATAAGCGGCCAATTCTTCAAGAACAAATAAAGAAAAATCACGCTGTGGTATATGCAGCACCTATGCAAAGAATTCTGGGAAAATGCTAAACACATGATATATACAGTACCTGAGTTTATCACTAGACCCGTCAATGCCAAGCAAACATTTTTAGCCAGAACAGGGCGCTCCATGTGTCTATGTAGGCATTCCAGAAGCAATAGCGTCACAGGTTCAATTTGGTCCTCTGTCACGTGACCTGTAAAATGTTAGCAAAACACTTGTAGAATGAATACAATAATGCTTTCTGCGTGAACATGCAATCTATTTTATGAGTCTGCTTGTCCAACCTACCTTTCAAGCACAAAATCCACAGGACTGGACTCGCTGATTCTACCAACTGCCCATCGCTGGGATGTTTCTGGATTAGTGAGGAGATTAATGGCACAGCTCTTTTCACACTATCGCCTGATGCCATCTCTGTGACAACAGAAAAAAAACTGTTTAAAGCAGTTGTGATTTCTTCTAAAATGTTGAAATTTATTTTTATATACAATTAGCAAAAGTGTCTGTATCAGTATCAGCCTCCTGTCATTCCCTGCAAACAGCCCTCAGACTCACAGAGGGATGTGCAGCGCTATGGGCCAATCATCATCTAGTATAAGCACATGTGAAGACAGTAGGAGAGAACAGACTTTGCAGAGATGATGTATCAGTGTCTTGCTTTTCCTTCATTGTCCAATCAGAAGGTTAGGGGTTGGGAGATGACACTGCTGTATTCTTTAACTCTAACAGAGAAAGAGGTGTTACCCTCTGGCCTGCGCTATCTGGCATAGGTGTCTGAATCACATAAGTGACAAGGCAGAATGAAAAATCTTCTGGTAAATAAATCAGTTCACATATGTATATAAACCACTTGTGGACTGGCCACTTTACATATACAGCTGGTCCGCTGCCCTATTGTTCTGTGCCTGTGTCCCGTACCTGCCTGTGTGCGTTTGCATAGAACACACAGACACAAGCTGCTGCTCCCACTTTCATTAAACAGAGGATAGCATTGGCTTCAGACACTGAGCTGGTTAGACCAGCACTGTGCCTTGTGGCCTCTGTGATTGGCTATCACAGCAATCACATGGCAATGTTTATTTTGCCAAATGTCCCCTTTCTTTTACAACAGAGGCAAGGAAGGGTAAAGGAACTAATGAATAAATGGGTAATTTGTTCATTAATTTCAGGGTAAAACAAACTGCAGCAAAAAAAAAAAAAAATTGAGCACAACTTTTACAACTTTTAACCATTTCATCCCCTCCCCTCTACAGTATGTCAACTCTATTCTATTTCTACTGTGAGCTGTATAATAACCCCTTTTACCCACTTATCCTATACATTAACCCATATTCTCCATCCTCCAAATATGTGACCTGTACAAGGGTGAGAGATTCACCCTTTCTTAGTGACCCGATGACCATTGTCAGCAGGACAGAAAGCGATGGGAAATCCAAAATTTTACAGTTGTCACTAAAACAGGAGGTGAGGGAAAATCTTTCAGTGGTAACACCTGTTCAGGCGACAGTGGCCTAAGAGCAGATTTCTTCTCACTTCCGAATGTGTCTCCAGGACTGGAAGTGAGAGGAAATCTCTCCAATAGAACCCAGGACAGCAAGGCAAAACAATATGATGGGTTTTAATAATTTCCTGCTATTTCCCAAAACATAATATTTTGTAACTTTAAGGAGAACTATGGGGTTAAGGCTTTTCCCCATAGTTCTCCTTAGGGTAACGGGAGGACACAAACTAGTGTCCTCCCGTCACCCCAGGCTCAGTGTAGCTGTAGCTCGCGGTATACTGAGACACCGCAGTATACCGCGAGCTGCTGCTCGCGGTACACTGAGTCGCCGCAGCTGAAGCGGATCCCGACAATTGTGCCGGGATCCGCCCATCTGCGTGACTGACAGCTGGCTCTGCCTATCTAGAGGCAGAGCCAGCGAACGCCGGTATGTGTTCGCTCACCTCCCGATCTACTGAGCCTAGAAAAGCACTCACCTCATAGTTCTCCTTTAAAGAGGGTGGGGTAACTTTGCTATATATGCTATACAATATTTCCCAGTGTCAACCCCTCATTGATTTCAGCTGGTCTGCACTTGGAGAGGCACTTTGATAGCGCCATACTTGACGTACACACATGCTTTCATCTTTGTGCACATTGGACATCTACTTTTACTAAACTTGAAAAGCAGGATAAGAATTTGGATCTGGGTACCCTTTGCTAGCCAAAAGGGTGGGATGTTAGGGAATTTCTTTTATTTACGGCTCTTGTAGTGAACTGCCCCTCCCACATGTTTTTCTTACTGGTAATAAATTAATCAACTGCTTGCCATTTCTCTGTGTAAAATGTACCTGAGTGTTATTTGTGCTGGGGCCTGTATATCATGACAGCTGATTGATAATGTTAATTTTCTACTCACCAGTCATGGCCAGACTCCAGAGCAGGGCACAGCAGGACACACACAGCTCTCTGTTTACCAGCGATTGCTCTGTTATCTTTAACAGATCTGGAAGGAATCCCGCTTTCGCCAACATCTCTGCTGCTATCTCTAAGGAAACCAGCGTGTTATAATGTAAATTAACCTTTTTCTGAAAATGGGCACTTTGTAGTTAAACAAAATGGATATTGGTTACTATACAAAAGTCTTTGCAATATAGCCAACCGGATTCCAGATTTTCCAATGCAGATTAAAAAAACTAAAGCTAACAACTATTTTTTTCCTATTACAATTGCATGCTTACAAACAGACACAATGACAATTCAAACACAACCTATGTAATAAATTTACATATGGGGCCTTGCCCCAGGGAACCTGTGGTTTACCCATGCAGGCTCACATTAAAGCTGGGTACTTGCCTTCCCTTCCCTTCACTCTCCCACCATTCTATTTACTGTCAGGAGAAAAAGAATGAAAACCCTGTGTAAGCTCCAAATTAAACCCAAGTAGAGCTTACAAAGGGCTGAGGGCCTTTTCCCTTTGCCCATGTAACAGCGCTGTGCCAATCATCAAGCACTATCAAATTAGAGGAAGGAGAGTGATACACCCTGCTCTTCCCCTTTCCGAAGAACTGGTACTTTTCTTACTCCCAGTAGTAAAAAGGGTGGCATAGGACCAGAAAAGAGAGTATGGCATGCAGAAGGATAGCTGGCATTAAGCCCTCATTCGCACCTTGGCATTTTGCCACTCAAAGCTAAGCATGACAAAATGCTTGAGACAAGGAATCCTATTCATTCCTATGACACCTGACCATTTTGTCGCAAGCAGAAAAACGCCTGTCTCCGGAAAAAGTACATGAGCTACTTTTTGGCAGATTACAGCTCTTTTTCGTGTATAGGCTTCAATGGGAAAGCTTGAGTACATATTATTGCTCTATCTTCTAGAATACAGTTTATAGTGTACAACACTTTATATTGTCTGGCTCACCACTGACTGCAAGCATCATCATCAGACCAAGAATTTCAGACAGTAGCTCTGCTTCGTGGGAGAAAAGCCTCACCGTCTCCACTAGCATATTGATGAAATGGTCACTGGTCAGGTATCCCTTGATGTCTCCTTGTTCCCGCCCTGACAACAGAAAGCCCCTCCATCATCATTTATAACATAATTTACACAAATGTAAACAGTTTCTAATTCTATTCACAAAATGGATAGATCACCTTGTGAAAGGAGATGACATAGGATTCTGATGCCTTCGAACTGTACATTGTAAGAATCTCGGTGTGTCGTCATAGCTTGTGAGACTATCTGTACGATCTCTCCCTGAAGTCCTGAAAGAAGACAAACTTTATAAGAGTCTAGTGACATAGGAAAAGCCTCAATAAAACATGTTAGGAAGCTAAATAATTAAAGAAGAACTCCCCTGAGAATCATCTGTCTAGATCTGTTGCTCTCAAGTCATGGCAGCCCTTTAGACAGATGTTGTGACTATCCATTGGGATTACTTGTCAGAGTTTGGAAGGAGGCTTTTCTTCCACTGAGAAACCTCAGTTTAGGCCAGTTTACAAAGATGACAATCAATTTTTCAGTATGTTTAAGGAATGTAACAGGAAACCCACACCAACATACACCAGAGGGAGAATCAATCACAAGACCTCTGTGTCACTAACCACTATTTGCAAAACCTAATTCCAATTTTATTGCAGAAACACCGGCTTGCTGTTTATGGTGTCCCCTCATGTCATAACACATGTGGAAGGTTTGAACACATTAGGAGCTATGTTTGGTACCCCCTCCCTTGCTTGCTGGAGCTGTTAATGGTGTGGGTGCGCACAGACACAGCACACCACCCACTGACTACCAGTGATCTTAAAGCAGGGTGATCACACAAGTCAGAATATTCTAGCTGGCAGCTTTGGGTGGTTTAGCTAAATTGTATATTGGCAGCCCCATCTATAGAGTGGAGAGCCTCTGTTGGATTTTCATTGCTGCCTGGGTCCCTGTTTGTAAAGTTTCCCTTGATTTCCTGTCCTGGTGACTGGAAGTAAGGGTAGATCTCACCACTAAGGACACAAATAGTAATAAAAATCTGACAAATGTTCTAAGCCTTCCCTACTGTATCAACTAAAAAAAAAGTTTGTTGGGGAATGTTTTTTCGACTGCTCTCTTCCTAATAACTAATAATTGTCAAGTGTGCCTAACATGGCATGTTAAAAAGTCTGGCTACACAGAGTGGTTGCATATATGTTAAAGATCTTATTTTCTGTACCACTGTGGGTGCAGAATACAAAAGCCGGCAGGGGAAATTTTCTCATCCATCCTGTTTAGTGTGGATGAGGGAATCGAGCATTTTTCCCATTCAGTCGAGGGACTGAACAAAAAGAATCGTAAAGTGTACAGCTTTAAAATGTAACTTTTATCCTTTCTGGTTGTATTCAAATCCGGACTTCCATTACCTCTGTTATAAACTCAGCACCTAAGGTCACTTACCATCTTTGGTATATCCAGCCAACAACCTTAGAGCTGATAATTGTGCCTCTTCAAACTCTATATGATTCTGCATGAATTCTGGAAGAAAGATCACGTGTGCACTCAGCCAGTCCATAAATAGTATAACTGTACTACCAAATTTTACTGTTTGAACCAAAAGTGTTCAAGATTATATGATAACATATAATATAATAACATGCAGTTCACTGAGCGGGCCAGAGGTACATATGTGGTTCCCCAAGTATGAATGAAAGTGGTCTACGTGTTAGAGGAACCACTGGATAAACCATGAAACAAAAGAACATTTACACTCCCAGAAGTATCGATTTCTGCAGAAATCTGAGATGGGTTTTTTCTGTTTATCAGTGTGGGTATTTACTATCTTATTTACAGGTAACAGGTGTATTTGCATTTGGATCTTAGTGACAGGGTTGCTTTAAAGAATACAGTCCCCTATTTCCTACTTTTCATGTTCATACAGAACACAGATTCCTCTGTTGCTGCCTTACTCAGGATGCTTTCTAGGTTGTTGTCTTCGAGCTGATCCAGAACTGAAGGTGGTAGCATCTTCTTCACCCCAGACAGAGGAGAGCCAACCATAGCCAAGCATTTCTTGATGTAGGGTTCACTCACCAAATCTCTGTAGATGAGAGCTGCTAGCTTGTAAATATAATCCAGTGTTGCTTTACATACAGTAATCAGGCTATTCATACAAACTCCTGTACAAGCATTACTATAAAGCAGAAGTTATATACAGTATATTTAATGAAACAGGATTTGGAACATAAGCCTCATCTGAACTGTAACAGGTATTAAAGGGTTGATAACCTAAAATCGGTCATATGATTAGTGCTCCTGCTTTGTTGCTCTCCCTTGTTTGGGTATCCTTTGGTCACTCCAGGTTCCTCTTTCAACCTAAAAACAACTGGTAATTGATGTCTTACCAAAATTGCCCCTACAATGCATGAATGTATTGTTGGTAGAGAACAGTCCGATTACTCCCCCTTACAGCTTAAAATGTAATGCTTTTATCATGGTGATAGAGATACACTGGGATCAGTTTGATCAGAGGCTTACTGGTATGTTTTTGGATTTTGGGATTATTGCAGGTGATTGTGAGATCACCTGAGAGAAACCCACACAAACATGGGGAGAGCACAAAAACTCCATAAAGACATAGGAAGGCAATAAAACAAACCTGTGCAACCCACCAAATCTCAGCACCCCATACTCACTTTGCTGATGATCTCTCTTCCGGGAGATTTTTTAGCATTTTTTGCACCAGGCAGTAAAGATCCTCTGTGTAACCAGCTACCCCTTGAAGTGCCTCAAAAACTGTGCCCAGACATGAGGAGTTCACTTTGACCATCTGCAGGAGATCAGTAATGTCTCGATCCTGTGCCAAAATGAAAAGAAGCCAGCCTCTCATTAATCTTTTAGGAACCCAGACTGGTGGCATGAATTATTAGAAAACAATGATTCTAAAAAACGTACAGATTTTACAGAGGTCGTCATCAAGTCCAACAAAATGCATCCCAGAGACCAAATGTCTGACTTTTCGCTGTATATAAAATAGACAGATTCCGGGGCCATGAAAACCTTCTGCTCTGTAATTAAAAGTGGCCGGACAAAATTTAATGTAGATATATAATTAAAATACAGTAGTGTTAGTTATAGTCCTAAAACATTTTCCTATATACAGCTCACTTCCTGTACAGCAATCACTTCAAAGGAAACAGCAGGCAGCCTCTGATAAGCCTAAAATGGCTGAAACCGTACAACTACTGGGTACAGCTAACTGTATGCTAGGTACTTAAAACAAATGTGAAAGACCCTCTAAAGAAAACCTGTAGTGTAGAGCTGCCAAAAACACAACATGCAACTATTTAATAGATTTACCTTCTTACTTGCAATGGAAGAGCAACTAATATTGACTCCAGTACCTTCACAAACTATGTGTTTCAGCCCACTCGCTGAACTAGTACAGGCCTACTCATAGTAAATCATTGAAAACTTGCTTTGGATCATGAAAGCTGAGACTTATTCCTGGCTTAGACTGCCTGGTGATTTTATGAGAAGAATACGCTTGACCAAAGGTACAAAACTTTAGATGTCAGACAGACAGGAACACCCTATGCAGTAAAACATAACTGAGAATTTTCAAAATGATAATGAGACTTTATTTCTTGTCTTTGTTATAAATACAAATATAGGGGTCGGAGAAGATCATAAAGTTGCCAGTATGTGGAAGTAGGGGATGCCTTTAAGAAAATTCAGCGAGATGCTCAGGAAAATGATGGGTTTTTCCAATGCTCTTACCAGGATCAACTCTTATCTTCGCCTTCGCCTCATCTGTCACCAGCGTTCCTTGAAGAAAATCACTTATCACAAACGTGTCCTTGTTTTTTACGTAGATGTTGCTGGGTTTGAGGTTTCTGAAACAGAAGACAGTGACAATGTTTCAAGCATAACAACCAAAACCCTGTTTTTATAGTTTTGGACAGAGTAGGGAAGGGCTAACATTTCTGTTTTTGTAAATAATGGGGAGATTTTTCCCTCACATTCTGTGTGTGGTCACTGAGTCATGAACTGAGCAAAACTTCTACAATGGTGGCACAGACAGCAATAAAACATTTTTTTCAGCAGCATGGGAAACGGTAAGTATGTCTATCAGGACCCTGTTGTGGAGAGCGCCTCAATTTAGATTAGAAGGCTTGAAGGCTGCTGAGTCACTGCTGGGATGGGGGAGCAGGGATGCCTGAGAGAACCACTTGAATTACTTAATTGCTTCTGATGTCAACTTGAATATGCGTTTCTCAATCTGAAGCTACACAGGTTGGTAATGGCTCATGTGAATTATTAGGTGAAATGTAATCAGTCTAAAATCCGGGGTAAGGACCTACTATGGATTTTAGGGGTGACCCTATGCAAAAACACAAAAACCTCAACCTTGAGCCCCCCATCAACATCAGCAAACCCCCCTTTCACATCATAGTCCCCCTTTATTTTAGGAGCCCCCTTCACATCAGGTGTCCCATTCTTTCACATTATATTCCCACCCATCTTCCACTAGGTGCCTCCCTGCACATCAATGCTTCCTCCTTTCACATCACATGCTCCCCCTTCACATCAGGAGCCACAGCTGCTGCAGTATGGCCAAAGGCAGGAGGGGGGAGCAGGCCTGGATGGTGGCAAACGTCTGTCCTATTCTGAATGGATCCCAACCATCCTGGATTAGCATCCTTAGTTTCCATGGTGCTGGCAGCCGGTACACCACCATGGAAACGCATGAAACTGTGCAAACATTTTGAGGCACCCCTGAGAAAGCCAGAAGGCACCGCAGGGTGCTGCGGAGCCCTGTTTGAGAAAAGCTGTCTTAAGGCATGTTAGCGCACTTTAAAAAAAACTCTTTTAGTCTGTCCCCTTATCGCAGTCTCTTCTAACCACTAGAAACTGCCTGTAGTATTCTATGCACAAACCTGCTCCAAACAAACACCTGAAAGGTAAGAGATATTTGTATACATTTATTTTTTAGTTTGCTGTGCGAATAGGAACACATAGCAAACATATTGTGGGGGATTCTCAAATTTGACTGCAAAAGTGAAAATACACTTTAAGAGTTCCCCAAACTCGAGTGACTTATACACTTAGCAAGGAAGTATTCTGAATAGTAAAACAAAAAGGTACCTGTGGGGTAAATCCTTTTGGTGAATGTAAAAGAGAGCGTCAAGGACCTGAGCAAGAAAACGCTGAAGAATCTGTTATAACAAACAGATAGGTTTAAAGGCTTGGATTTCTGCCCAACACAAAACAGATGCATATATGATGTATAATTGTGGACAACAGAATACAACACAGTAACCTGTGTGTGTGTCAATTTCAGATTACAATTAGATCTTTGTATGCAACAGGCGTTTTACTGCAGGGGACAGCAGAAAACAGGCAAAAAGGAGCCTAAAGCACCACCTTCTTTCTGGGCGTAAGAATACAAAATATTCATATGCTATACGTCATAATAAAGAAAACATGTACAAACCCACTTTACAATGCCAGTTAGTTTAAATTCCACTTTGAATATTCCCATTAATTCCAAATTAATGGTGATTATTTTCCATAGTGATTATAGTACTGTGGCACATTTTATTATTTCCTTTTATTCTTGTGTGTGAAACGGTGATACTTGTATCACACTGACTATGCCCAATAATGGCAAAGCAAGGATGTCCAAGTGCTATAATAATTATACTCTCATTAATGACACAGTAATTACATTCATTAATACCACTATGTGTTTCATTTTAAGTGTAACAGCTTACTTTGTCTTCAATCTTTTTTTGCTCTCGCCTGTTCAGTTGCACAATGTCTGCTAGATTATCTTGACCACAGTAATCCATCACCATGCAAAAAAAAAGTGAGGAGCTCTAAAGAGATCATATTAGATAAATTAACAAGTTTCTTTTAACAAAACAAGATGATAACGTTACAACCAGGTTTGCAGTTTTCAAACACCTTTGAAAAATACTGTTTAATGCAAGAAAATAATAGACGATAATCAGAATTCTTGATCGTGCTATTATTCTCACCCCGACAATAATATTTTTTTAAAGATTTGGTCAAACTATATCTAATAAGTGTGGCTGGCTAATCACACAAATCAGTATTTGCTTTCAACCATTTGGTGAGTTTGACATTTCACTGCAAAAAACTGCTGGAACCACAGTGAAAAATGTGATGTGTTCCCTAATTCTATTAGTTTGAAGCATATTTTGCTTGCTTATTCTCGAAAAACTGAAAAAAAACATTTGATTGGGTCAGATGGGTTGCCACTATATGAAAAACAAACAAAAGCTTTCTTGTCCTCTTTAATTAAACTGAAAAAAAGTGGAAAGTGTTTGAAAAATTGCCCACATGCTTCACATTTTTCAATTATCAAGTGGTTGGATTGAATCATGTTGCTACAGTACTTCCAGGATCCGCCTCTGTACATCCAAGAGGCTGATACCTGGTCTGATTCAGACACTTACACTACCTGTATATAAAAAACACATTTAATAATGTATTACCAATTATACAGCTGAATGAATGTGTGCATTTAATATCTGCCTAGAGTTCTGCTTTAACTTTAAATCATTACAATAATTATTACAAAAATATCCACTCCTATATTGGTTCTGTTGCAGATAAAGAAATAACACCCAAATTCTGGTTCTTTCAATTATTCATGCCGATCTATTAGGGTAGGTGCGCCTAAGCATAACCACTATAGAGTCCATTTGCATCTGACCCATTTTGCTCAATGCATCCTGGGAACTTGGATGCCGTGCCCAGGCACCAGGTCTTAAAGAAGAACTCTTAACCCCCTTAAAATCTTATGTGCTTGTTTTGCCTAGTGAGTTAAAGTAACAGACTCACCGGAGCTGCAATCCCGGCTGGCTCCTAGACCAGGACCTTCAGCCTCACTCTCACTCTGCTGCAGACATGGAATTTCCCTCAACATCCTCACGTCCTATACATTGTATAGGACGTGATGACTCAAAGGACCTTAGATCGCCAGAGCAGAAGGGGAGCAAGGCTGAATGGAGCGGTCTAGGAGCCAGCCAGGATTGCAGGTGAGTATAACACTGTTATTTTAGCTCCCTAGATAAAACAAGCACTTAAAAAGTTTCTAAACCCTCACATTTTTTTGCATATATCTACTGCTAGCAACTTAAACTTAAAAAAAAAAAACGCTTTAAAAGCGGTGTAAACGTACCCCTTCCCTCGCCACACGCTCGCGTCCTAAAATCCGAAACTGCTTGGGCGGCCGCAAAGCATCTTGGGATGGGCGCATGCGCAGTTCGGATTTTCGGCCGGGAGACGAGGAGAGACACAAGGTAAGTCTATGGACACGTGCAGACCCACATGCAGACCTCGTGGGACAGGAAGTCCCAGCAAGGACAGAGGAGTCAGCGCTGGATCGGAGACCTGCCGCAGCGCTAGAGGGACAGATGAAAACGACAGGAAAGAAGATCGGATTAAGAGACATAATTTAAGGTAAGTGCTTTAATTAACATTGGGGGAAGGGAAAAAAGTTTTTGACTTTGATGTCACTTTAATTCTTACAGTGCGGGGGTAGCCCCACTGCAAGGGTTCAGATTTTATTTGCTGGCAGTTCTTTAACAGAAATGCCAGAGGACATAATTTTGATGATCTGCAATACGGTGAATACTGTACCTTACCTTATTGTCCCAGACCATGAAAAACTCTTTATATGGGCAGATATTGGGGTGTTGAAGCTCCAAGAGAGACAGGGCCTGTACAGTATAAAGAGAGAAATTGTAAACTAAATATGCCCTGATATTACTAAGAAGCACAGATATTCAAGACTGAGCAAGCTTTTCACAGTGCTTCTAAACAAGACTGCAGCGTCTTTCACATGCCTCTCAGCTGCACAATTTGCCTGTGAACCGCAGAGGGTGATGCTGAACCAAATAACATACAGGCTGTATTTTCACAGTCTTATTTTTAAAGGATATGTGCACTTTTATATAACATGAACCTATCCTTTCTGCCCCTCAACCTAAAGTAACTTACCCTTCATGTATAAGTATACATCTGGGGCAGTGAAGGGTTACTTTATGTAGGGTCAGGTTACTTTTGCTTGGGAAGGTCAATACAGATAAGCTTTCTTTAAAAGTGCACTAAGGCAAGTAAATAAAAAAACAAAAGATACTGGCAACCGAATGGATTTAGAATGTCAGGAGTACAAGATAAACTGCAGAATAAAAATGACCGCAATTTCTCCCGAGTTCGTTTAAGTACAACATTTTCATAACTGACTGAAGAATTTCTTTAAATAAAAACACCAGTTGTAGCCGTTACTGTCCCCACTAGAAAATTACCTCTTCTAGGGCAAGATTGCATTCCCGCTCATCTATGCACTCCACCTGTAAATAAATGATAGAATAATAGACTTGGCGTTATTAAGTCTGTTATTAAGCAGATCTTTTTGGAACAATCAATAATTCATGTATTATCCTGGCCTATTGCTACTGTTCCCCCATGATATGGGCTGCTTGGGGTGTCAGCACAGTTTCTGTACACTTCATATATATGCTCACTTTGTCACTGCCAGCAAGCATGGTAAGTCAATGCGCGTTATCCTGACTGATCATGTAGCAGCCAGTTCTTCTAACTCCTGGCTTATGATAAGAGCACCCACATGTAAACCTGTGTAAAGTTTAAAGTTGGTAAACTACTGGAAAAAGTATAGAAGAGGTATCCAAATTTTCCTGAACATGTACTCAAAGCACCCATGAAGCCTGCAAACCTAGGGGCACGCTACTAAACTTTGGCTCCTGAATCTCTGCTTGGACACAGCCATTCCAGGATTCTGGCCCCCTCTATTAGTTTGCATAGTCATCCATTACAGCTTTGGACCAACAATCTGGGAAATGCCAGTGTATAGGCCATAATGGTCTTCAAAATCTCAAGTCACTATTTATTTACAGAAGACATTCGTAGCATGTCAGGTCTTCCAGGGTACTCTGTAGGGGCACCTCTGGGTGGCAGCTCTTTTATTCTGCCAGTAGTTTACTAGCTTTAGACATCACATGGATTTACTTTTAGGGAAAAATATTTACTTCTTCCCTGAAGAACCCAGTAAGCACCTAAATGCATTTTTTACAGATGTATAGATGTTCAGACCTTTTTGACAGCAAATTGTCTTTGTGAGACTGGCTCCTCCACAAGACAGGTCACTCCGAATGCTCCAGGCGGCCACTCTTCCAGCACCTGTTAATACACAAATGTTCAGGAAAGGTCATATAAGTTTTATGCATCCATGCACTATATATATGTTTATTTTTGGAAATACATTGTAATTAAGGTAAGGGGCATAACTACCGATCATTGGGTCAACATTTTGATGGGGACCTCCCTACTATCATTGATTTAATCATAAAGTATGTCTAAATTAGGAACAGGTAGATGGGGAGCTCTCAGCATATACAGTGCAATACTAGTACAAAACTAGGGACTAGTGCCATGGACAAGAGTTGTCAGGGAATAGGGGGTAGCAGTGCAGGGAATTAACTTTAAATGGAAACATACCAGCTACACGCTCAACAGTCTTTTTCAGCATCTCACATTTCAGGGACTCAGTGTATATTCCAAGTCATCTTACCTCCCCCACCACCACAGGAAGGATCTGTAAATGGAGGACTCAGCTGTGTGGAATGATACACGCTCAGCCGTACAGAATTCAAAATACAGCAGCCGCCTGCAGGGAGAAGAACCCCTTAATTCATGTAAGTGTGGGGGGCAGAAGTCGGGGGGGTCATGTTACCCTATTTCAAGACATCATATGGGATTAACTTAGCCTTTAAACTGATTTTGTTTTGTAGAGCATGGGACCCAAAATGCAGGTGCCAGCCTGTACAAAGGGGGCCTAATGGAAACGTTAGTAATACCACATAATAAGAAGTCTGACATCAGACTTTTTTTTTGTGTACAGTTGTTCAGAGATAAAAACCAGAGACAAATATCCAAAACATGGAGAATGCAGAATCTGAGAAGGCACAGCAGTGGTAAAGGCGGACTCTGGACTCGTGCGCCTCTGTAGCTAATCCAGGGATGCATGATGTGCATTGTTACCTTGTATCTGTCCATTGCTAGTCAGTGATCACAATTGTCCAGCAGTCTTGGGCCTCATCAGCTTCCGTGGAGCGCAGCGTCGTTCTGCTACCATGGAAACCTCTGTAAGCACAGCCGCTACGGCGTTCTGCGATGAAAGCGTTCCATCGTTACCTTGGAGACAGGTGTCACACCCTCCGCGCCGAAAATCACACGCCCCTCCGCTCTGATTGGCCTGTTCTCCATACTCTCATCTTCAAAGCGGACGTAGCTAAAAAAAAAAAAAAAGAGCAACCCGTTAAGTTTGGGCTGTCTTTTTTTTTAAAGGGACAGTGACAATGAAAATGCACGCATTGGCCAGCAGACCTAGGGGCTGAATTAAATTCATTGAGAAAATTAGTCACAACTGGAGCAGACAGAATTTGGAATAGTTGCCCATGGCAACTTATATCGTCCATTTTCAAACCCTAGCTGAACAAACCTAATATAAAAGCTAACTGCTCCATTTCTCTCTGCTCTAGTTTTCATAAATTCACACCACTGAGGCCCTGACGCTAAAATAGTGCTAACATCCTTCTGCAATAGAAGAGGTGGCGCATGCCTTCTACCTCCCCTCCAGCCCCAGTAACATGCTTTTGACATTTAACACTTTCGGGAGCACAAAATGCCTGTGTCCCCCATGGCGCGTTGGTTCCTTCCTACAACCTTATGACACTGCACAATCCTATAGGACCAATGAAGGGGTCACAGACACGATCCACCGGGAGGGGGGCAATAAGAACTCTTCTATTGCAGGGGATGTTCAGTGCGATTTCTGTCAGAGACTGACACTGTCTTTAAAAGCCGAACTCCAGGTAGATATAAACAAAAAAATGCAGTTCTGCAACTACGGTATATACAGTACTTTTCACACCACAGCATGTTGTGATGCTCTGCGGTGAATAGAACTCAATGAAATGTCACTTGGTGACATTTCAATAAAGTTTGAAATAAAAAAGGGTTACAGTAACGTGTTGTTTTCAGGGTATAGACATGGCTAGTGAAACCGAATACACCAGCGGCTGCTGTTTGAACGAGCCCTTGGTGCAGTTACACTACAACGCTTTTGGTAGTTAAATAGCACCTTTTTTTTTTTATAAATGTCTACACGTCAGAGTCTCGTGGTAGGCAACCTTGGCACTCCAGTTGTGGTGAAACTACAAATTCCATCATGCCTCGGCCTCAGGGAGACATGTTTGTAGCTGGTAGTCTTGCAAAGCCTTATGGGATTTGTAGTTCCACAACAGCTGGTGTGCCGAGGCTGCTGACCCCTGCGGGCCTCAGACCAAATAGAGGGACAATGGTTTCAACTAGGATCTAAAAAAGGGACACCCAAAATTTTCCATTTAAAAAAAAAATTCGTTTCACTTGGAAAATGTGTGAATCTTGGGTTAAAGTTGTGAATTATGTATGAACCATTTTATAAATACACCCCCCCATGTGCCTGCATGTTAATATGAGAATGCACATGTGTATGTGTGGTGGTTTTCAGGGGATGTTTATGTATCTCTGTATATGAATATTTAATGCACAGTGATCTAAAGGGAATCTCAATTATCCAATCATGTGAATTGAATGATTGGCAGATTTCTCCTCACCCCCCTGTCCCGGTGACAACATAGGATTTCCCGTCATATTTGGTCAGAGTAACAGTGGTCACCAGGACAAATGGAGAGGGTGAACTAAAACTTCCACAGGCCAATCCGACACTAAAAAAAAAGGTTTGCCGATCTCTTCCTGATGAAATGTAGGTAAGGCACTGATGGTATCTAATTGGCCGCAGCAGCAATTCGTAAGTATCAGGATTTTAAGGAATGGCATGGCAAACAAACACTATGGGGCCCTTCACACCAGAACCGTGCCTTGAAGCAGAACTCTGGGCAAAGCAAATCTTAACCCTTGCAGTGGATCTACCCCCAAAATGCAAGGGTTAAGTGCTTATTTTTGTTTAGGTGCTAAAAAAGAAAAGTTACACTCACCTGATCCTCAGAGCCATCTTGCTCTTAGACCAGTCCCTGGAGCCTCTCTCTCCCTCTGCCGCAGCAGTCTAAGGATCCTTGAGTCATGACGTTCTACAGTGTATAGGGCATGAAGACGCAGAGGGACATACCATCGCTGCAGCGGAGGAGGAGACAGGCTTCAGGGACCACAGTAACAGCCAGCCGACTCCACAGTTCGGGTGAGTATAACTGTTTTTTTTAACACCTAGACACAAATGAGCACTTAACCCTTGCAGTGCAGGGGTAGCCCCACTGCAAGGGTTAAGAACATTTTTGACCAAAGTTCTGCTTTAACGATGTGCAGGTGCATTGCGTTCCCATTCATTACAATGGCACCCCCAATGGCAACACGATCGACCGCAATGTGATCGGCTTACCATGTATTGCAGTGAAAAAGTATTGCATGCACTTTTTTTTTATTATAAAGCCCATGGTGCGTGCTTCGTAAAACTACTTCCCCTATGAACAAAAAATGTGAATCGTGAAATCACAACGCACAAAAATAAGTGCACGAGGGTGCTGTGGCCCTCCTCCGAAGAGGAAGGGCCTCGATAATCCTGAACCCCCGGGGCGCAAGGCTCCTGACAGGGGCAAGGAAGTCTCTGGTCCTACTACTACTACATTCAAATGAATGGCAAGGGAACACACCTGCCATACTGTTAATGCATAGTAGGTGCGTTGCCTGGTACTGTGTGATGAACGCTCAGCCCTGTGTGAAAAGGCCCTAAATGAATGGCCATTTATGACACAGCGCTATTTAAACATGTGATCCAATGCAAAATGCAGCATTTTGCTGCAATCCAAACACTCCCTCAACGTGGCCTGCTGTGTGCAACGAAGAAGCAACATAAAGCAGGTCAAATGCAAGAAAACAACGTGCTTCCTCCTTCTCCTCATTGAAGTTCTACTTCCTTATTCTCTGCACAGCCTGTAAAGGGAGGGGGCGGGGAGCAGCAAAAGCAGCACGTCATTGTGGGTAATGTATGCAGATCTGTGTAGCAGGCCACCCCCTCTTCCTGCGCTCTGCACATTTCCTCAGTCACATGGAGGAGGCTGGGTAAGTCTGACACTGCACTGCTATTTGCATATGATTACCCAGAATCCTTCGGCGCTGCTCAAGCAGCCACACACCAGTGTATGCAAGGTAGGCCTGCTACAGGAAAGGATCAGTCCTCTATCTTCCCACTAACTTGCTTTAAAAAGGAGCATCTTGTTTTTCTTTTGCATATTGCGCATTTTATTCTGTTTCATTGTGTTTGGTTATTTTTGATGCAGGCACCATGGCTGCCTTGGATCTGAAGGCAGAGAGGGATAAAATCCAGAGGGAGATTGAAGCACTTGAGAGAAGTTTGGGTCCAAATGCTGCGGAGCTCAACCTGGATGTGTCGGACTCTGACGACGATTCTGACAGTGAGCACAATATATGTGTTTTATGTTTTTATGTTATTTCTGTAATTTAGAGAAACTCATAAAAGGGAACAGAAATGCAGGGCAGAAAGGAATGTTTTCTTTTTTATTAATATATCATACTTGCAGTGTTTTACAATCAAAATTGAACCAATCCGTCTCTGTAACAGGAGTTTACACTCTAATGTCCCCACCACCACACAGACTGTTATTATATATCTATATAGCTCTACCATATTCCGTGCTGCTGTACAGAGAACTTTTTACAATTTGCATTGAAGCTTACACTCTGATATCCCCACCACCATCGCACACTATAGGATTATACATTTGTATAGCTATTACACATTCCACAGTGCTATGTAGATGACACTATTCCTCATCTGCTAGTCACATCAGTTTCTGCACCATAGGAGCTTACACTTAAAAGGAGAACTATGGGGTTAAGGCTTTTCCCCATAGTTCTCCTTAGGGTAACGGGAGGACACAAACTAGCGTCCTCCCGTCACCCTAGGCCAGTGGTGGCGAACCTTGGCACTCCAGCTGTGCAAAAACTACAAATCCCAACATGCATCTGCCTCTGTATGTGGCTGTCAGAGCCTTGCAATGCCTCATGGGACTTGTAGTTGCAAAACAGCTGGAGTGCCAAGGTTCGCCACCACTGCCCTAGGCTGTAGCTCGCGGTATACTGAGACGGCGCAGTATACTGCTCGCTGCTGCTCGCGGTATACTGAGACGCCGCAGCTGAAGCGGATCCCGACAATTGTGCCGGGATCCGCCCAGCTGCATGACTGACAGCTGGCTCTGCCTATCTAGAGGCAAAGCCAGCTGTACCCGCCCCCTCCCCCGTCCGTTCCGCCAGTCAGCGTTGGCGGATCGGAGCGGGGAGGGGGGAATCCAGGCCCTCCCCTGTCACGGCAGAGAGCCGTGACAGGATCGAGAGGTGAGCGAATGCCGGTATGTGTTCGCTCACCTCCCGATCTACTAAGCCGACCTGTGACAGTCTCATTGTCACAGGTCGGCTAGAACTATGAGGTGAGTGAAAAGCACTCACCTCATAGTTCTCCTTTTAAATGTCACCACCACAGTTGTACACACTAGGTCTAGTTTGGGTGGATACTAATTAAGCTGCCATACAAAGTCAGTGTAGACAGTGATATTGTGGGAGGATTCAAAATATGCAAACGCCATGTACAGGGGTGTGGAATTCGTATCGTGTTTT